GCTGCCAACCGCACGAGGACGTGCGATAGTCTGAGATGGCCGTGTCGGTGCGTCTATAGTACAGAGAGGTTGCATCATTCTGGAGGAGTGGTCGTATTCATGGTGGTATCACAGGATAGATTATTCGGATAATTAATTCGTGGAAACGAATTAATTATTATTATGAGCGTGAGAGGTCCTCTCACGGTTTTAAAACAAGGGTTCAATTTTTTTATGAAAAATATTGTGTTAAATCTAAGTACAGCTCAAACCGCTGGTTGTAGAAGCGTGATATCGGAACAATAACTTCCTTTTAAGTAGGTCACCATCAAGATACTATGTATGTGTTTAGTTCAATAGCATTTGCTAAGAAAAAAGTCTTGTAAAATTAAAATCCTTGGGGAGTAAAATAAGGTTTTAAGAATGTTTTTTACGGGGTGATTTCATATTGGTATAGGGAAAATTATTAAATGATTATTGTAACTTTAAAATTAGTTCGAAGGATCCATCATCATCATTACAGCCCTTTACAAGTACACTGCTGAACATAGGCCTCCCCCAAGGTATGCCACAGAGCACGGTCCTGAGCCACCTGCATCCATCGACTTCCTGCATGTCTTACCAGGTCGTCACTCCATCTAGTAAGGGGTTGCCCTACACTTCACCTACCGGTACGAGGCTGCCACTCGAGAACCTTTTTTCCCCAACGGTTGTCGGTTCTTCGAGCTATATGGCCGGCCCATTGCACTACAGTGTAAGGTTTTGAGGTATACCTAACGAGAAGATGTGTCGTAATTTCCCGAACGCTGCCCAGCCGAGTTGAATCTGTCGATTGACCTCTCGGTCGAAGTTGGACTTACCTAGTCGGAATATTTGTCCCAGTTAAACGTACTCGTCAACAACTTCGAGCATAGTGCTCCCAACATCTACTGCTATAGGTGTGACATGGACATTAAACATGACCTTTGTTTTGTCCATGTTCATCTTAAGACCTATCCGTTGGGAGGCTCTATTGAGGTCATTGAGCATAGTGCTTAAGTCCTCCAGCGATTCTGCCATAAGGACTATATCGTCGGCAAATCGAAGGTGAGTGATGTACTCGCCATTGATGTTAATACCGTATCCTTTCCAGTCCAGTAGCTTGAAAATGTCTTCCCATGCAGCGGTGAAAAGTTTCGGGGAAATAACGTCACCCTGTCTTATACCTCTCTGCAGTCGGATAGGTTTCGTACTCTGGTTCTGTACTCGGATAGCTATCGTAACCCTACTGTACAAACACTTCAGCACTTCGATATACCGATAGTCAACTTGGCACCGCTGAAGAGACTGTAGCAGCGCCCAAATTTCGACGGAATCAAAGGCTTTCTCATAGTCCACACACGCCAGGCAAACAGGAATTCTGTACCATTTGCCGAAGGGTATGTATGTGGTATATGGTACTGAAGCCTTTTCGGAAACCGGCTTGTTTGGGAGGCTGGAAGTCGTCGAGTCTGCGTGCGAGACGGTTCGTAATGACTTTGGGATTAAAATAATGCAATTAGTTTTTTTTTTCATTTTCCTAGTACCTCACCTTAATGTGTTAAAACCGGGATACATTGTTAGTGCGGTAAAAATGGTTTTTAATTTCATGGTGGTGGGGAAATCCGTAAAATGAAATTATGATAATTATGAATAATACTTATTATCTAGAACTTTACAAACATTTGTCCCTATTGATCAATATATAGGTACCTACAAAATATAAAAATTGTCTATTTATCATTGTGTTCGAGTTAGTAATCCGACAAAAAATAGTGAGATCAGATAACTACAGATAAAACGGCTTTACATGCTTTCTGAGGCATAGGGATGAAACACCGCTAAACCCCTAACTCCGGGCTACTACTGCGAATTTTTCGATAGAAAACCCAACTGATTTTAAGCCCGATGACACCTATTACTTAAAGGTCAAAAAACTTTCATAGGTTGAGTGTAGTTTTATTTTTTATTTGTTTGCAGGTTGAGACAAAATATAGATACGCACGCAATTTCATTATTTTGTTTGCGTAGGTACATAGTGTTAGGTAGGCATTGGATTGAAGTTTCATTTACAATTTTCATTCAATATCAATAATTAGTGATGGTGCTTACCTATTTAGCGCAATATCTTATTTGTTCTGTGGAAACCAAGTATTGGCTAGAGGAATTCGGGAGCAAATTAGGGATTACGTTATTGCGGTCATTTTGTTGTTTATTTACAAAATAAAACACAAGCGTACAGTTTGCCCTATTTGTTTCTTGGTTCGTTTGTGGGTCCGTTTATTTGTTTGTCTGATTGACCGACTAACTGAATGTTTTTATTTAGATTAGTGTCTTTCTAAGTCTTCGCGACAGTTTAATTTACAAATAAATCATCATCACATAGAATAGCGAAGTACTGATTCCACGCGAACTCGTGGGCACAGCTAATCTAAAATATGTCTTTTTGTGTCATTATATGATAAACCAATCTTATTTAATTTTTGTGTGAAAACTGTGTGCTTAATTGATTTATATCTAAGCATACTATAATATTGCACTTTTTTATTAAATAGAGAAGATTCATTGTTATCTTTTTAGTGATATTTTATTTACCCCTTTTGCTTTGGCTATAGTCTTATTCTTTATGTTAAAAGCGTACATTTTAGATCGTAAACCTACAAATTCTTTCATGATTTTATTATTATTTTTATCTTTCAAAAGAACTAATTTCTTTTTGTTTAATTTTGGATACCTATTCAAAATCATTCATCATAATCTAAGGTATCAAAGTATGAGGAAAGGTCAGGTTTTATATCTGTGTAAAAATCATCTTTAAATATATGATATATTAAACTATCCATATCTGTATACAATAATTGGTTTATTATATATTAACTTAGGTTTTAGCAACTAACCCGCAACTAGCTCTTCCAAAAATATTGAAAGACTGAAATTATGGTTTAGCAATTAGATCTTGAGCACTTAAAGCTTTTACCCTGGTACTCCCAGTGTGTAACTAATTTTACGTTAACCCTTTTGTCAATATTCTTCATAGTCTTACCGAAGACTGAATTATTCATTAATTTATAAAAAAAACTTTTATTAAATCTGATTTTGCTAACGTTCTTAACTTTGTATTTAGATCTAAGTACATTTTCAACAAGTGACTGTTTAAATTTTAAAATTCTATGAATTTTAGTTAATTTAACTGCCTTTTCTATGCACTACTTTAAATGTCTGTAATGAATTACATATTTATCTTTATTATTTAAATTTGGAACTAGTTTATTCTCTAATATTGCCTACACAAATGTTTTCTGGGCATAAAGGAAAGTCCTACTGTAAATCATGAAGTTCATCTGGTTATTCCAAATCAACTTCTGAAATAAAACCGAAGTCTGATGTCTCAGACACATTGAAATCTGTATTCGAATTTACCCATTCAAATCCACCAGTAGGAAGATATTGAGACATAGCCCAACCATATAAATTGTTGACATCAAAATATGTGATATAACTATGAATTTGGTTTCCCTGCATCATAATCCCCGATTTATTTATTAGCTCTAGCATTACGATTACTACATTGAGATACACCCCTGATATCCGATCTAATAAATGCAATTTTCTCATAAACTGTTAAAAGTTCCAATTGTATTTTTGTATATTTTAGCATTGCATCCCAACTTAAACCGGGAGCTGTGTAATAATGGAGAGGGTCTAAATCATAAGTATTATTCTAATATTATTATAATGGACAGGGTCTAAATCATAGTATTATACATAGCTTTCTAAAGTTTTCAAATACGTCGGATAAAAGTAAAACGTCTGTTTTTAAATGCAAGTTTGAATAATCTAGCATAGGTATTACAACACCCAAAGTGTTCCCAAATATCTTTAGCATGATTGTAATCATCATTTGAAATATGGGAATCTATACATAAGCGAGCTATAAAAAAATTGTTCAGGGAGAGACGTTAGGTGTAAACTGTCATAATTAGTTATAAATTCATATCGATAAACCCCTTTCCGTTTTAAACGAATGAAATCTTTATCATTAGGGTAATTTCTAAGTAATTCTTGAAATTGATTACTGAGATTTTTGGCTAATTTACACGGTAAAAACTTAAATGAATCTACGTAACTCAATATGACTTCATGGTTATTTATGGAGCTAGAGAATGAAAAGAAGAAATACTCGAGCTTTGACTTCCTAATAAGCGTCAATAAAACAGAATGTTAGTAATAAAAGTGAGTGAATTGGCGACCGATGCGGTCGCACCACCCTAGGGCTACCATTTTTACAATAAATTATCTTTATAGGATTGTTGACATCGTAGCCTTGTTTAATACCATTTTAGTATACGTTTCCTATTGCAATTTGGTTTTAGTAATTAACATTTAATTTATATACATCTTTTTTTAAGAACAGCGTTCTTTTCGGCTGTTATATTTACAATTTTTGAAGTTTATATTTGAAAGAAGTGGTAGGACCCCATATCTGTCTGGGGGGTATCAGCCTCTTACCTGGTCCCGGTATAAATACAGGCTGTAAGCCATTCCATCTCAGTCCATAGAGGTGACAACCAGGCCAGAAAAAATGAGAACTCCGGTAGTGCCAGCCTATTTGATCCCAGCGGCGGTACTGGTCTATGGCTTCAGCCGCGAAATTTAGGGAAAGCGGAGCATCATAACACCAACACACCTCTCCATTCACTGCTCCACCTCAACCCATCAGTAGCGGGGCCGCACCCCGCCTGAACGCGTAAGATAGCGCATGTGGCGCATCACTATACCCACACTTGTCTTTCCCTGCAACTCCACTTCGACTGCGGCGGTAGAAAGAGGGGACATCCCTCTCGCCGCAGTCCATCAGCAAGTTGAACATTAAACATTAAAAATCGTATAAACTGTAAAACCATACCATATGCAATCCTAAATAACTAAGAATAATAAATGAAACTATTGTGTTAAGAGCTTCTCATAAATTTATTATATGGAATTTGATAATAAATATATGATCAATCTTTTTTCTGTTTGAATAAGTTTATTAGTTTTTGACGTAAGGAAATAGGACTTCCCACAGGTTTTAATACAAGTTCTTTTGTGCAAATATTATGTAAGGGTCCAAAAGCCAAGGCAACAACTGTACACGCAAGGCATATAACATTGTAGGGCATACTGAAGTCTGGAGTAGGTAAAGACACCATAGCCCCATTAGTCCTAAATACTGCAGGATACCCTGGAAACAAATATATACAATACTTTAGTTATTTTTTAAGATAAACTACTTAAAATTCATACGTAGATAATTCACTTACATTGTTTTGACGCATTTATTATTGAATCTATAGTACTACCAGTAATAGGTAGGCTAGTATAATTCCTAGCAGTAGGTAAATTGGCAGATATCAAAGCAGATCCAATGTAAAATCCATGATTAGCATCAGGGGGATATTCTTGCCATTTTAAGAATACAAATTCAAAGTCAATAGTAATTGTTGTAGTAGATTTTGGGGGCAACTGTAGCAGAAGTTCTAAATGATATGGTTTTTGTCGACTTCTACCAGGAGAATAATACTGAGATTTGACTAATTTACTTTTTGCTTTGCCATTAATTCTTAAAGAGCTAAGTTGGATTGGCAACCACCATGGTGCATTTTCCAATAAAACAATGTCAATGGGGGCCCAATAGTTATTTGTAATTTCAGTTACTATACCACCAAACTCTTTACCATATCCTAGAACATAACGTGTAAAGTGCAGTGGTGGTGCTATTGTAACAAGCAATTTATCTTGTGTATCATATTTTACTCCAATGTTCATCATATGATTATAAGATTTAATATCATAAACAGCAAGCATTGTGTCACTACCACCTCTTTTAAATAATAATACATTATTTGGAGATGGACTCAACTTAAATGAATAGGTCTCGTTGGAAGAAATATCTACATATATTTTACTTGAAGATGACAAAGGGCAAGCTCCTGGCAAGCCTTGGCCAAATAGTTTTCTAAATGACCAATCTATACTGTCTATAATTTTATAATCATAAACTAATGCAACAGTTTGCTTTATTTCTATGTTTATATCAGAGCAATTATCAACCTTGCACATTTTTCTTACATGTACTCCAATAGAATGGTAATTAGTATTATGCATCATTCTAGAGTTCAATAGCGATGAGAACCCATGGCTAGACTCACAAGGCAACAATTTCTTCCATGGAGTTAAATTTTCTGTACACACAATTTCTCTTGGTAATGTTGCATATCTTAAACGTGAAGTAATGTTCTGATTAGTTTTTATTGCACCTGTAGGGCAAATTGCCATTTGAGGTACAACTGTATTAAAACTATCAATAAAATTAAGTGAAGCACAAAAAAGCCCTGAAAGTGTCGCACTCAGCTTTCGCCATTGTGTATCAACATCCACAACATTAGGCGAAAACCAAGCATAAAGTTCAGCACCGGGAGCTGCGTCTAATATTGGATATCCCCATTTATTGTGTTTCCACTGGCCTTCAGTTAAAGTCAGATGAAGCTCATCCACTTGGAAACGTGAGAGTACCTCTCCCAAAGACCGTGGCGCTAAGTGAGAATGCTCAACTGAAAAACAAAAATAAATTGATGAAATAATTTGTGAATTCTTAAAAAATTCTTAAATAATAATATTCTTACAGGATGATTCTTCACTAATAGTAATAAATTGAAAGTAAACATAGAGATGAGTAGGTGGTAATGGTTTAATAAATATTTCTTCTTTAAAATCATCAGCACAGACGTAATGCAATTTCATTAACAATGATAAACAAATCACAAAAATCTTCCTCATTACAAAAGCTTTATAAAAATTCGTCTATCTTGAGAAAGAAAAATGAAGACTACTTTTTCAAATTTTTAATACTATTCAAACTTGGAATTTCAGGTGTTCAGGAGCTTAATTAATTAAAGTAGAAACTTAGTGGGTCAGTGTTAAGTGTAGCAAGCAAGTGAGGTACCTAAGTAATAAATCCTAGATTATTTTAAATTTATCACTAATATAAACATAGAGTAGAGTAATATATACAGAAAATAAATTAAAAATATTAAATGTCAGTCACTAATGTCAGTCATAGACTCATAGATTTCAGGTATACAAAAAGTACTCTGTGGATTGCAATATATTAGAAAGTACTCTGTGCTCATAGATAAAATTTCATTTTTTTAATAACTGGCTTTACGGCTATAAATTCTAGCCCTTCTGAGCCTATCATTTCGTTCAATATCTTCATTTTTGTATTCTTTTTCTTCACAATATGCTAATGCGTCACATTGCGAAGCCTTTGGGATATTTTGACGACAGCTCAACCCAGCAGACAGTTGACGACGACAGCTACTCAAGTTCATAAGGCCCAAGCGATCAAAATAACATGAGGTTTATATCGACATCAAAGCACCTGTTTCGTTGTTTTCTTTAATAGTTCACACGCGCGGTCAATTAATTCACAAAACCGCATGACTTATACGAATCGAAATCCACTTCAAACCCTTATTCAAGAGACAATCCGATTACGGCCAAGTTCCCGTCAAAACTCCAGATAAAATTTCAGTAAGGTATGGTACATGGAGTATAGAGGTAAAGAGGACAATCTTCCATAGGAGAATAGGCGAAAATGTGTCAATCTATAAGCAGTAAATAATAGTTCAAAAATTCCCCACAACAGCGCTTGAGTAGCTACAGGGTAAGATAAATCGCCGTAAAATACGTTGAGACTGATTTTTTTTTAAATTTTGAAAACAATAAAATAATTATTGTAAAAAGAATTATGGTGAAAGTGCAGACAGAGAAACCTATAGACTAATAATTAGCGTGGCCTCGAGTAAGAAAGGACGATATAGTAGTTTTAGGTTATACAATAATCTTTATGACTTTTAAACATATTTAGATAAAAAAATTTAATTGTTCTAAGAACAGAACTGAACAAGATTCACCAAACTTAAATTCACAAAACACTTTTTTCTCACTTAGACCAACTTGTAAACTCCTTAGATCGCTACGAACTTGAAGTAACCTATGTACTTGTAGGTGATATTCGATGTATTAGAAAGTAAGCCAGTATTAAATAAACACTCGAGTTGAAGAAACGTGTTGATCTTTCAGCCCATTATAAATACCATAATTCATGGCGACCCATGCCAAGTGCGCGTGTCCGGGTGCAGGCTAAAAGTGCGGACTTTGCACATTCCTGTGTGCCTCGGCAGTGAATGCAACTACGTAATAATAATGAATAAGAATATAATTATTAACTTTGTGACTGTGTATGCGCGTGTTTATGCCAAAAAACAAAATGGGGAATAGTAATTCGAGAAATGAAAAACATGAAACGACGATTGCCCAAACTGGAGGAACCAATACTGTGGAAATAGAAGAAAAGGATTATCATATAAAGATTAACAATATATTGATCACAACATTTTTAATTTTAGCATCAATCGTCCTGGTTGTTATCATATTTTTGAAGCTGAAAGAAAAATATAAGAAATGGGTAGAAAAGAAAATTAATGCGGAATTTTTAAGAAGAATGCGCACTAGACTGTCTAACAGACGTGAACCGCGTAATGAAAAAGATGTTTAAATTTATGTTGCCTTACTTTCTCCGAGTGCCTCTACACCGTATATCTACGTAACCGGCCTACACCTGTACTGAACCCTGGATATAAGTGAGCGATCCTTGACTTCTCCGAGTGCCCCAACACCGTATATCCACATGACGACGCATGTTTTTGGACTCTGCACGTGAGCAGACAAGCGGCGTGAAACCGTGGTGTGTTTTATATTAGTGCAGTTCCTAAAAAGTGCATTTCCGTTTAGTTTTACGAGAGTGAGTCAAACCCTTTTTTTAAGTGACAATTATAGTGACATTGGTAATTTTATAAACATATTTACGAAAATTATGTTAAATTTAGGTAGCATGTTTAACTTTGTTTCTCTATAACATTTAAAATAGTTGTTGTCATGTGTTAATTCTAAGAATTCCGACCGCTGCGATCGGTCGAGATGCAATTCAGCAATTGTAATCGGTACACTGTATGACTGTGCTTCGTTTTAGAATAAATTAAAATCAATTGAATGAAATATGAACGGAGTGCAAGTTAACTTTAGTTTCTATGTGAAATTAATCGTCAGAAATAAGGAAATATTTGATTAAAAAAGGACAAAGTTGATATAAAGGTTCTATTGCGTTAAGTAAGTTGAACGAAGCCGAGATATATTTAAATAATAGTAAAGATATATTTTCCACATTAAGTTATATTAAGGATAAGTTGGAAATATCTTTAATCACTGAAACATATGACAAAATTTGTTCTTTATTTGCAGAAATAGCGAAATTGTGTGTTTCACCCAGCTTAGAGATGAAGTCAGAAAAGATGGATTTTGATTTGAAAACTGCTTGTAGCTTGATACCTCTTTTAGATGATAGGGAAGATACTACGAAACGATTGATTGATGCGGTGGAAATGTATGCAGAAATGCTTAGTAGTGAAGGCCAGCAACTTTTAATTAAATTTGTTCTCAAGGGCAGGCTATCAGAAAATGCTAAGTTGCGCGTATCCAATTCTTATACTTCAGTAGACTTGATGATTCAAGATTTTCGTAATAAGTTATTGACAAAAAAATCTTTCACTGCAACACATAATCAAATACTGTCTCTGAATCAGGGCTATAGGACTATTGAACAATAAAGATCTCAACTTGAAAAACTATTAACCGATTTGATAATTTCACAGGCTGACGGTGACGTCACTAAAAGTACAGTTCTGAAACCAATTAATGAAAAAATGGTGATTAAAAAATTTACGGATGGACTTAAAAATGAAAAGTTAAGTACGATTATAGCTGGTAGAAATTACACATCGCTAAAAGAAGCCATTCAAGCGGCCAAAGGATGAATCCACTCCATCGTCATCTACTCAGGCAGAGGTAACGAAAATTTCATCTTTTCCTAGAGGTCGAGGTAGATGAAATAATCTTTCTTTTAGATTCCAAACCAGAGGTCGAGGGTTCCAGACAAATTACCACAACAATTACAACAACAGAGGTACTAACTTCCAAAATAATAATAACAATTTTAATAGATATCAAGGTAATAGATTCCAGTATACGCCGCGAGGTAGAGGACAAAACATGTTCTACAACAACAGAAGGGGATACAACAACAAGAAAGGTAATTTTAACAATAGAATATTAGCGTTGCAAAATGATGCGCCAGTACGAACTGCTGATAACGTAGAATACCCAGCTGATGAGAGAGAGAGTAACCAGTTTTTTCGGACTTAATAACTTAGTTTTTGCTTGTAGAGGTAACACTAAATTCGTAAATTTTTATGTTGAGAATAGGAAGATTATACCACTGGTAGAGAGCGGTGCATCTATTTCGGTAATTAAGGAATAACAAATTACTAAGTCGAGTGAAATATTTTACAATAATTTAATAATAAATTGAATCGGAGGAAAAATCGGAGCTTCGAGTTATGTTATTTTAGACATTTACAGTTCTAAATATGATAAATTTACGAACAAGTTTTATAGTTTCAAGAATTTACCTGTCGCCGTTGATGGAATATTAGGATTAGATTTTATGACTAGATATAAGGCTAAAATAGATTTAGAAAATAGTTTACAGACGCTGCAAATTGATGGTAAGCATTGTATTTTACCGATTTTCGATAAACCTGATTATAGCAACTCGTTAGTACTCGCACCTCGAAGTGAGTCTATACATTATGTGTATTTGAATAAGGAAGTGGAAGAGGATTTTTTTTGTGTGCGCGAGAGAGATAGAAAAGGATATATTTTTGGCAGGAACTATTGTTCAACCGAAAAATAAACGCGTTCCAATTAAGATTTTAAATATTAGAGATGAGGAAATAAGATTAAACAATTTTACTTTAGATGTGGAACCTTTGAGAGAGTATAACATTTTTAAATTTGGTCAATGTAAAAGTAGCTCCAATAGGGCTAAATCTTTGTTACCTTTATTAGAACTTAATCATTTAAACAATGAAGAGAAAGAATCTATTGAAACCATTTGTTTTAAATATTCTGATATTTTCTTCTTACCAGGTGACAAATTAGAAACTACTAATATTTGCGAACATACCATTTTCATTCATTACATTAAAAAATAAAACTAATCCAATATATACAAAACAATATAGATTACCACATGCATTAAAAATTGAAGTAAATAAACAAATAACAAAGATGCTCGATGACGACATTATCGAGGAATTTTCTAGCGAATGGTCAAGTCCTATACTATTAGTACCTAAAAAGTCTGAAAGCTCACAGAAATGGCGTTTAGTAATCAATTTCCGTAAATAAAATGAAAACATTGTAGACGATAAATTCCCGTTACCCAACATAACAGACATCTTAGACTCACTATCTGGTTCAATTTACTTCACTCATCTAAATTTACAACAAGGATAGAAGATGCATTATCCAGAGTGTGTATAACATCAAGTGAACTGAAATGTATGAATGAGGAGGTTTTGGCAGTTGTAACGAGACAACAAAAGAAAAAGATGGAGCAGAATAGTACGGTAGGACAGACTGCGCTTAATAAGTACCCTGATGAGTGGCCTGATCAACCAAGCGTCGTGGAACTATTAAGACAGCCATGTGATTCCGTAGAATTGAGGTTGACTGACAGGGAAGTAATAGGAAAATTTAAGAAAGGAAATAATAAAGTGATAGAAGAAGAATGTTTTATGTATGTACCAAATAAAATGTTATTGTGTTAATTTAGGTTTTAAGTTGCATTTCTCGCGAGCCGAATTTGCAATTAAACTTAAAGAGTTTTGCAAAAAAATAAAAGTAAATAATTATGCATAGTAAAAGATGGAAAGAATACTAAGTTTATAAATGGAATATGTAGTGAAGTTAAATCGTTGAGTGAATGGTCCGGACCCCGAATATGTGTACTGAAAGAAATAGAGAGAATTTATGATGAAAATGAGAAACAATTTATTTTAAATGACTATCATTTATTACCCACTAGTGGACATGCTGGAATAACTAGAATGTCGAATAATATATATATATATATATGTATATATATATATATATATATATATATATATATATATATATATATATATATATATATATATATATATACTATTGGCCAGGACTAGATTCGGATATCCGTAAATATATGAGTAAATGCGCATTATGTCAGAAAATGAAACAAGGTAAATATACCAAACAACCTATGACTTTAACCTCCACTGCGTCGACTACATTCGAGAAAGTTTTCCTCGATTTAGTTGGACCATTGGATAAGGATGAGAATGGAAATTGTTATATTTTAACTCTCCAATGCGAGTTAACAAAATATATAGAGGCGTATCCATTGCCTAATAAAGAAGCTGTTACAGTTGCAGAAGCTTTTGTAAGTAACTTTATTTTAAGATTCGGTATTCCGAAATGTATAGCTACAGATAGGGGGACAGAATTCATGTTTCGGGTTATGGAACAGGTATGTAAGTTATTAGAAATCGATAAGTTATCGTCAACTGCATACCACCACCAATCAATCGGTTCTCTTGAGATAGCTCATAAACATTTAGGTGCGTTTCTAAGAACTTATTGTACTAATTCGAATTTTTCATGGGCCCAAATGCACAAATAATTCAAGAAATGTCAGTAAAAACCAAGGAATTATTTTTATCGGCTAATAAGGTACTTAATCAATAAAAAAGTATTATAGATTTATAATAAAACAAATTATTCCTAAGACGCCATCTTGTGTCATGGAATATAGATTATGAAATTAATATGTTCAGATGCGACATTTCTGTGGGTACTGTATAGGACGAATATATTATTATACACTTTTTTTTTGTAGAAACATATATAAGTTATTATAATTAGGCTAAATTTTTCATGTTTAAATTTCTTATTATTCCTTTATTATAAGGTTTCCACATCAAAGTCAAGGTGGAATAAATTCGTCCATTTTTAACTCTCGCGTGCCCAGCATTTATGAACGACTCTTATTCTAATATAAATAAATATATTTGTAATTTAAATTTTATGTTAATAAGTTTTGTTAAACATACATTTAGTATGTTTTTTGTATTTGACATAGATGCCTTTTAATATTCAGATAAAAATATCATTACAATGTAATTGTGATATAATATTATGTAATATTATATTAAATAAGTGAATATAATATAAAAAATAAATATAAAATTTATTTTGTATATTATATTCTCTTCTATTAAATATAATAAAAAATTAACTTCTATTTAATATAATAAAAAAATATAAAATTTAAATATTGCTCTCGATATAATTTACCTATTAAATAATACATTCTACTATTACCTACGGATCATTCTACTTATGTTTATTCTATGATTAAAAAAACCAACCGCGCGCACACAGAGTAGCGCACATTGTTTGTTTGAGATAGCTGTTCTAGTACGTAAGTACATAATTACTTCAATGTTTTTTTAGCAATACTACTAATTTTTGTTACTATTCGAACACTTGCTGGTAATAAAGTTTCATTTTCTTGAATAAAAAAGAAGGATACCATTATTCATATTTATTAAAAAAAAATATCTTTCATTAATCTTTTAATCAAGTGCTTTTTGTGTTTAAATTTGAAGAAAAAAAGAAGATATAGAGTATAATTATCAGCACTATTTTTTGACAGTAACAAAAAAAGAAGTGTTAGTAACATAATCGGAAATATAAGGCCTAGCACACACACTTAACTCACTATCATAAATAGGAAACAAAAAAAAATTAAATATCAACACAAAATAAAAGATTTATTAATTATACTTCCAAAATAATAAAAAAAACATTCATTTAAATTGCTTTAAGCATATAAAAACTTATTAATTAATAACAATCAGTAATATTTCTTGGTGGTGACGTACATTTTCATTGTTTTTCATACACCGCTCTTACTTGACGTTATTACACATTTTTCATCGGATTTTTTGAAAACACAAATATCTTTTGAATATTATCTAGGGTTCTATTGTAATAAATTAATTTTGCGTAAAATGAAACCAGTAAAGACCTCTGAAAATCTGCTATTTTACGTGAACTTTGACTCTTCTTAATGTACTTACTCATAAATCAAAAAATATAACAATATTTTCTTATGGTAAAAAAAAAACATTTTTTTAAATCTCACGTACACTTAAAATTATTATATTTATGTATATTGGAGGGGGAGACAGTATAGAATGACTTCTGTTCGCCTTTATAAAACATGACTCCCGTATGTAATGTGACTTGCACTTTAGAGGTACCAAAATGCATTGCTTGAACTTCTTCTGCCATTTTACATTCAAAGTTTTCTAAAAAGTCACAATGCAAAGCCATTTCATTATCATCTAAATTTTCAAGACAGGTTTTATAGCTTTTTGTTGCATATTAGAACTTAACGTTAAATAATTTTAAAGATTCCTCAAAATTTTTATTAGCTCTGCAATAGTACCTTTTCTATTGATTTTACTGTTCTTTTAGTTTGCCGTTCTTGTCCATCGTCATTTTGTGTTCGTTTTTTATAAGTGTGGGTTTGGATTTCCCACATTTGCCATGTAATTTCTTGAGATGATTTGTTATTCTCCAAATTGTAGTTTATAGATACAAATTTACACTTTTCGCACTTGCTAACATACAAGCGAATGACTGAGTATTACAAACTATTTTTTGAGAAGATCATGAGTGTTACATACATCAATAACTTTGTGATGTTTAAGAGCCGCTAATTTAAAATTAATATTACTGTGTTTAATGGAAAGGCAAGTGTTTCGGTTTTGTAGGTTGGGTGAAATAACGTAAAACGGTCTATACCGGCAAAAAGATGCAAAAGAAGTAGAGTTAGACCTTCCGACTTTTTCGTATAAAATTTTTAATGAATTATTAAGAAACCGTATTTGTTGTTTGTTTTTCTTTTGCGTTTTGCATTCGCGTTTGCCAGACGTTGCTCTGCTTACATCATCTCTGATATAAAACTCGATTATAGACTTTTGGAGTTTCAAACTCCTGTTCGTAGTTTTCTTATTTCGAACTCGTGTTTTCAGGCCTATTTTTTTTTTGGAAATGAATGACAGCTTTACTACTTTTCACGAGATAATTATTAGCAATTTTCTTTATAACGTGTCTCTCTTTACTACTTTCACACTGCCTGTAAGTCAACTTTAAAGATGCTTCCAAAATTTCATTTCTGGCCTTTAACCGATTAAGTTCTGCTTCACTTTTATTCTTTTCTTGCATTTTGCTTTTTTGCAAACGATATAACCTTTTCCTCATTGTTTCTAACGCTCGATGCAAGTATATATTTCGATTTTGAGCTGCTATGTATATATCTTTATAGTTTTCTCTTTTTACTCTGGATTTTCTGGCACTGGAATCTTTTGTGCTTGCGATTTTTGTTGCAGCTTGTTCGCTACTTTTCTTCTTATCTTTTTGCTTTCTTTTTTCTTCTCTCCATTTCTTCCTTTTCTTATTTTTTTCTGCCTCGGGCATTTCTGATATTTTCTTATATTTATTATTTATTCTTATAGTTTTTCTTTCGCTGTTCTTCTAGTTTTTCGGGGTTTAATTTTAATCGCTCCCTATAGCGTCTCATCTTCTCGGCTGCGGTTAACGGCATTTTTTTTTTGATAAAATGTTATTAAAAGTATTGCTTGTATAAAAAACAATATAACTGTTCATATACCTGAATAAGTAACAAATTCCTCAGTATTTTCCACTTCTTTCACCTGCAGACAATAGAATACAACTTATTTGTCAACTGTTTGAAAATTGTACTTTAACACTTTTTACTCATTATCATCATCATTTCAGCCGACTCCACGGAAAATATCGAAGTTTAGCCAAATCAGCAGTTAGACTGGTAAATCGGACCCCAGACTTCAAAGCTGAAAGCTTCGGATACGACTGGGATTAACGCTAAGATGATGATAATGATCATCATTGCAGCTGACGTCCACTGCTGGACATAGGCCGCAATGCGGTTGTGTTTCGATTCTAAATGGCATAACCAGTCAGTTCCGTGAATATGAATGACAATACGTGGCATATAAGTTGATCCAAAATGGCGATCGACCTTCAGTGCACAGTATAACAGATATTTGAGTCTCAAACGAAGCGGAGAGCTGCTCGTAACCATAACAACAACGGCCACTTCGGTTTAACTTATTTGCCGTGTGCTATACCGTGCTTATTTATGCATCAAATGAATATTCACAGAATGTATGTTTTAGTGCTCACTTCAATAATAATAAAATTAATGCACTACTTAGAAAATCCATTTGAAAAATTACGAAAATAAACAAAACTTTTTATTTTGTAATTTATATTATAATATCTGATTGTTATTACATATAACAGCCTGATAATCATTTGAATACGATGCAAATTGTATATCGAATTATTATTTTAAAGTTTAATAATATAGTTAAACGTAATTTAAGAAAATATTATGTAGATATTTAATATTGCTTTAATACCTACACTGTAGTAAGGTATGAAAGCAACATTATATTATAAGAGATTCACGAATATATCTTATGCCATTTTTGAGAGGTGTATGTTTTGGCTTTAAAAATCCTTTTTGGTTACCCCCACTTTCCGATTATACATTACCACGCGAAAGTAACAAAAATAGAAGAAACGCAATAAACGTATGAGATTTTCAAAAACAGAAATATTGGTTAAAACCAAATAGTTAAAACAAGAATTTAACATCAAAGTGTAGTGTATAAAATAAACTATCAAAAAACTTTACAAAAATATTAATATCTTAAAACTTACCTTGACACAAATGGTAACAAAATCCATAAAGAAATTGTCGCAGTAGGCAGAGTACAGCGCTATTGCGGCTGTTGTCGACGCCGAAATGACATTGCAACAAAATGGTGGAGTGAAATGTCGTCAGATAGTGTTGCAAAGATTAAAAAATAATTATTCTGATAATTTAAAAAATCTTTCGAAACAAAATTCGGTAAGAAATAAGAATTCCGTTTTGGAACTTTTTATAGGACTAAATTATTTTTCTGAAATGTTTAAACTTATGACGAGTTTTACTATTAACTCGTTATTAAATGAATGTTTAGACCATGAGCAATGTTTTGAGGCTATAATATATGTAGAACTTCTTAGAATGTAATGAAAATAAATGAATTCGAAGTCTGCGGTCACAATGGGACAAACTATATCCAATACTACGAAAATTTCGGTATTTATCAGAATATTAATTTTAAAAGTAACTTTTTATAATGATTTCTTATATTTACGCGAACACTACACATTGATTAAAACTACTTTTACGGACTTTATCGCGTTTATTTTACTATTATTTTTAATTCCCGACATTTCGGGCGCTTTCCAGCACCCATGGTCACGGGGGACTGAGATGACTGACGTCCCGATGTCATTGTTAAACCCGGAGTACCTTCAGCTTTTTTAATTATTGTTTATGGTACGATCTATACAATATGAACTGACTATGTCCTGAGGTCTTGCAGTGGTATGCTTGGGTTTAGTTTTAATTTTATTGATTATAGGATCCCAAGCAGGTGGTAGTACCCAGCCTCCTTCTCTATTGAAATTAGGATGTTTTTTAATTTCAATAGCCTCACGTATCATCCTTGGTAGGAATCGGTGTTCTTTCGTGAGGATTTGTGGTCTATCAAATCTGATGTAATGGTTGGGGCCCTCTAGGATATGATCGCAAACTGTAGACTTCCCGGAACGTTGAGTTGAGTAACTTTTTAATTTTAACACTCTTTTGAAATTCTATCTGATAATTTACTAATATCAAAACAGTTACAGTATTATGTATATCACTTGTAACACCATAGTAATAAAATAATCAAGGAAAAAACGTGGGTCATTGACGTTATGACTATGGTCAAAAATTTTGAGAAATACTCATTTACTGATGACTGCTTGGATTCTGTTCGTTGCTCTGCTGAAGAAGGCCTTGTTGGGATCGGTAAGTGGCTGAATACTATATAATTACTTTATATATAATTTGTATATAATTACTTTAAATACTTTGAAAACTCGTTATATAAAAATGTCAAATTATATTCGAACTCAGCCTAATAATTATTTTCAAATTAAACTTCACACATGCTATGATCCCTTAAGTACTAGTTGGATTTTATAGTAAAATCACGGCCTCTGATTCACGGCACTCTCGCAGATTACTTGCCTTCTTCTCCACTCACCGCAGACTACAAGGCTATTAATCTCCTGGCACTTGCACATTCGTTGGCAACGAGGCTGCATTATCGACCTCCGGTCTGAGTAGGGGGGGGGGTGATGTGTCGGCGCTGTCGTCGCGCCGCAAGCGAAACACACCGAAGCCTAAATCACGCTATCAAAATTCTGAATCATAAACAGTATATATAGAACATCTCCGAACTATCACATGGAGTGTCGGCCGCTCCCCGGGCAGAACACCTTGCCCGGCGGGAGATCTCTCCTTTTCTCTTACATAGCTGTTCATTAATTACTACGGTCTCTGAGACCAAGTAATTAGGAGTTATAGTTGACCAACATTTGTCATGGCATAGACACATTGAATTAATCATGAATAGACTAAGGAAACTTAAATGGACATTTATTACACTAAGACGAAAAAGTTACTATACCAAATTTATATTGCTTTGGCTCAATCTATCTTAGTATATTGTATTCCTTTATGGGGTGGAGCTATAAAAACCAAATTTTTAGAAGTTGAAAGGGCATGGAGAAATTTATTAAAAATTGTGCAATTTAAACCAAAAAGATTTCCTACCGAAGATCTTTATGCGTAATGAACTTACTATTAGGAAACCGTACACTTATATTCAGTTCTAAGATTGCATAAAAGTATAAAGTTTAACCGTTGCATTGTAGCCAAAAGATGGAAAAACGTAGCGGATACAGCTGTCGCTGTTAAAACTGTTTTAGGTAGGAGACAATATGTAAAACGGTCAGTGACTCTATACAATGCCATTAATAAAAGCATAAAAATTCATCACCTCAACTACCATAATTGCAAATATGTTCCAACGGAATGGTTTTTTCTTAAGAGCTATGATGATACTGAGGCTCTTTTAAGTAATATGAAATAATGTAATTTATTTATTACACACACACACACATACACACACACACGTGCACGTGCGTAAACATACATGCGTGCGCGTATATATTTATTTATATTGTTTTATAATAAATTATTATGTAAATATCATACAAATATAAATGCAATTGCTATGGAAGAGTAGAGTCTCCTAACACAAGTTTTTATACTTAAAAGGAGACCTCATTCCCGGTTACAATTTATGTATGAAATATGAATGAAGCAAAATAAGTGACTAGATACCGCGTTACACACATTCATGATTCTATTCTTTATGGTTAATTTATTTTTTCACAACGTAATTAGTTAGTATGGCAGAATTACAAGTGTATTACAAAATATGTATACAAGGTGTAAGTGTAAACACCGTTGTCACTAAAACCATAGTTATGCTATATACATAACCATAGTTGGCTTTAATATAAAAATATTTATCCGAATTCTAAAAAAAAACCTATTTTCTTTCATAAAATTTAAGAGGTTTCTGTCTGAAACCGTCTGTAAATTCATGGATACCCTATGCGCCCGGATGACTATATTATGGTTGCAGCACTGCAACCATAATAGCTGACGCTCGACCGGGAAAGGACTACGCTCTCACAGAATACCAGCGTAAAATACCAGCTTAATACTGCTGTCTTTCGTATGGTGAAAGTAGAAATCCGGAGACCCTTTTTACTGGAAATGAGGCATCCCCTCTTGGTCCCTAGGCGTGATAACGTATCTGCGTTTTAATTCTTAAGCGAGGATAAATGTAGATGTCTATGGGCCACAGCATCCACTTACCATCGGTGGACTGTGTGCTCGTTTGTCACTCTTATTCTAAAAAAAATATTTTTATTTAATATCGATAATCAAACCTTATCTGCTTATCACGTTAGTAGTTATTCTTTGTTTTTCAAAAAAAGCAATGATAATGATGATGATCAATTATTCTATTTTGGTTTATTAAATTATACAGATTTAATACAGATATTAAGTTTAAGTAGCATACAAATTTAATACAGATTTTAGCAGTGTCTAATACAGATAAAAGGTTCAAGACATCTGGCAACACTGGTTACGACATTATTGACATTTGATATTTTAGTTGTCATTCTAAGTTTTGAGATCTGAGATGTCGATTACAAATCCATATATTTAAACCACTATTTATGTACATAGTTATTTATAAATATTTTAATATTAAACTATTAATCTATGATTTACATTTATTCCCATTGTCGTATTAGTTTGTGACTATGTTCCTTCGGGCATAGTGTAAGTTTAGATATTTGAATCCCTTGGAGTTTAATATTATTGTAAAATAACAGTTTAATACCTCTATCGATATAATACCTAACATAGATTTGCTCGGAGAGTTATAGTGTTCTGTGACTGTGAAGTAGGAGTGAAATAGAACGTCGTCTCTTGAACGGTAGAGACTACAGACTACTAAAGTTATATTGTTCTGTGATATATATAATAACTGATGAATGACGACGTCTATCGACGATAATGTTAATTATATTATAAATGAATTAAAAACTTAGTTAAAACTTAGACTTAAAACAAAAATATTTTGGTTATTAATATAAGAATAAGTGTGTTGTGTCATTATTGCCAACTTTTTTCCAACCAACAGGTTAAATTTTGTTCAACAATGGATAACGAATTTGTTGTCAGATCAAATAGTTTGCGCCTTCAACTTGGCTATGGAATAGGCCATGTTTTAAATGATGTATGTGCAAGCTTGTGGTTTACCTACTTTTTAGTATTTTTTCATTTAGTTCTTGAGTTTAGTTCCACTCAAGCTGGTAACTTAATGTTAATAGGACAAGTAGTTGATGCTGTTGCAACACCATTTGTTGGGTATCATTCTGATCACACTGACAATTTTGTAAGTGCTCGATATGGAAAACGAAAATTATGGCATTTATTTGGTAAGTTGTTAAGCTCAATAGGCAGATATGTACAAAACCTACAATTGATTTTGAAGGAAGGAGGCAGGGGTTAGCAAGATCACCTCTGTGTGGGAAAAGAACCCCCTAGTTTTTGAGAAAAAGAATTAAAATTTCCCACAATTCAACCTGCTGTCAACTGTCTTCAAAAAAGGAGAAGGTTCTCAATTTGACTGTATTTCTCTTTTTTATGTGTGTGCTACCTCATTATTTTTATCTAGGTGAACTGATTATTATGATTCCTTTTTTTATTTGTAAGCTGTTGCTTCTCATGTTGTCTCATATAAATGTGATCAAGCTCTGCCGGTAGCTTTTAAGTTATCCTTAATAACACATATTTAATTGGCTTCAAATACATTGATGTTCTCATATTATTTACATTAAAGTCAGATGATCAAAATTTTTAATTTCACCACTTGTGTTCTTTCATATTTTTGATTAAATTATCAGAAGACACAGTTATATTAATTATTATTCTTCAAAATTTACTACACCTAGGTGTAGCCAAAAGCAATCAGCTGCATCTACTAGCAGCTACCTTTAGCTGGTTAATTATACCATTTCCTATTTTTATATTACCTGACTTTTAGACATTTCAGAAATATTACACCAAAATATTGAAAATTAAGAAGGCAAATGAGGGTTATAACATAATATGTCAAGTTACAATGTTATCAACAGAAACTATAACAATAAATTAAAGAAGGAAAGAAACACTTTAGTTTGCCATAGACCATTAATGTACACAATAATATTATTGCAAATTTACAACTTAAAAATATGTAAAGGCATGCCAAAAAAGGCAATATGTATGGGTAAAATGCACATTCATTATGATATAGTGGGGTAAAAAAATATTTATTAGTCTTTACTTATTTATTCGTTACAACATTTTCAATGTATCTTTTTGACATTGACTTTTGTCTTTGGAATAACAATTTGGCTAGCCTTTGTTACAATTGATTTTAAATACTTCTTGTATGAATTAGAAATAAGGCTATCACAAAATTTTTGTGAATTAGATATTAGATAGAGACAAAACATTATATTATTAGAAATTTATAAAAGTGCACATTAAAATGAAACAAGTGTTTTTTAATATCCAAAAAACATACAGTTCATATAAGTAAAATAGTTTCAAAATTTAATAGTTCATTATATTATATGCATTTCCGATATAATGACTGCCTCGTTGGTCTAGTGGTTGTAGTAAGTCAACTGCTGATCATGAGGTCCTGGGTTTAAATCCCGGGTCGGGCCTAAAAAAAACTAATTATTGAGTTTTCCATCAAGAAATTCTCAGTAGTTGCCCGGAGTCAGGAAGTTGGCGGTGTCTCACCCCCGTGCCTCGAAAAGCACGTAAAGCCATTGGTCCTGCGCCTGATCTCTCTCCGGTCGTATCAATTTACCGTCGGATTGGATTATGAGAGTGAGGGAATAGAGAGTGCACTTGTGCTTGCGCATACACTTGGGCACTATAATCCTGTCCTGCGCCGATCGCTAGTCCCCGTGGTCGAAATTCGGTCTGGAGGACATTATTATTATTATAATGGTTTACTATATTTGTATATACTAGACTAACTTATAAAAATAAGATATATTCCTCACAATAGCTGGAACCTTTAAATCAATTGTAGATTTTGTATAGTTGAGCCACTTAATGGTCATATTAAAATTTTATTTATTTTCAAGTTTTGATTTGTGTTTGTTTTATTCCCACAGGCACTTTTTGCGTTTTGTCATCTTTCCCATTTATTTTCATGAAATGTATTGGGTGTTCAATGGCACACAAATGGGCGCAGATGTATTACTTTGCTGCATTTATTTTAATTTTTCAAATTGGATGGGCTTCAGTTCAGATTTCGCACTTAAGTTTGATACCAGAGCTGGCTGAAGATTCTCATATAAGAACACATCTTACAGCAATTAGGTATTCAATTATATTGTTTAATTTTATGTAAATAATTGACAACTAACCTGCAAAATATTTCTAGTTGTAGATTTTAGAAAGTGTAGTATTTTTTTAATTAAACTGAAGTGACAAATGAATTAATTTATAATCCACTTGAAGGTAATGCTACTACAGCCCTTGGACATGTGTCACTAACTTCACTTCAAACAAAGGTTAAGATCTTTTTTTTATATAATTAGGGTGACAAACGAGCACCTGTCCACCTGATGGTAAGTAGATGCTGTGGCCCATAGACATCTACATTTAACCTGGATTAAGAATCAAAATGCAGATCTGTTGTCACCCCAGAGATCTATGGTGGAATGCCTCGATTCCAGTAAAACAAGTCTCTGGTGCTCTACACTCACCATACGAAACACAGCAGCATCAAGCTGCTATTTTACGCTAGTATTCTGTGAGAGGGTGGTCCTTCCCTGGTCGAGCCGACCCTTTCGTGTTACAACCATAATATAGCTGCAGCACGGCTCTACCAAGCCAAGCCTCACATCTGAGGACTAAGCTGTAATGCCTCACAGCCTTAATAAAATATACTGTCCATCTGTACCCTTCAGTCCAGAATGCAGCAGTACAAGCACAATGAGATGTGGAGGCAAAAATATGTAAGAAGGTGGTAAGTCATAATGCGCACAGCCAAGGAGGTGAATGCCCTGCCGGCGTCTGTTTTTCCGAGTGCATATAACCTTAACCTCTTCAAGGTGCATGTTAACAGGCTTCTCCTGGGCAAACTCGCTTGGCCCTTGGGCCAGATGAAAGTCAAGAGAGAGCCTATTTTTAATCAAAAAAAAGAGTGGTGGTGGTTTTTTATACACTTATCATCAATTTCAGATTTGGGTGCTTACATATGTTCAACAGTTCAACTTAACTAGGTCAGGTTATAAATTATTTTGTTTCAGATACGGGTTTACTGTGTTTTCAAACTTGTTTGTCTATATTGTCACATGGATTGTATTGCACATTACAGGAGAGTGTGATAAGGAGGTATGATTCATTTTATTTTTTGTAAAACAATATGTTTTCCCAGATATAATTTAATGATAAATTAATATTTTTATGGTAATGATTTTCTTAAATCTACTATCACTTAATGAATGAAAATTATACTTTTAATGTAAAGCTGACTTCCAAGAACAAAAAAAATAATTTCCACATAATAGTTTCTGAAGTTCGTACTAAGACGTAGTGTAGAAGAATTTTTTTTATTATTTTGAGTGAAATGAGGAATATCTCAAGCTAAAGGTAGAATTTTTAATGTTGTCTAAATTTTAAAGTTACATTAAAAACTTTAACAACTAGTTACGCTAATAACAAATATTTTTTCTCTCCAAATTTATATGGGACCACCACTGAATCCTAACCTGTTTAACAAAAAGTAATCATTAAAAATGGTTCACAAATAACAAAAACATACAGTAGAATGGAATCTTTTCATATTTTGAATTTAATAATTTGACAAGTATATTGCATTATTTTAGCAAGTAGGACCAGCAGATGCCTGGAAGTTCAGGCACATTGTTTATATAGTGTTGGGTGTTGGCACTACAGCTTCTGTTCTTTTCCACATATTTGTGTCTGAAGGAAGAGGATTTAGACAGCAACAACCATTAATCGACTACAATGATGATAACAGAGTGCATTTGAGCATATTTCGAAAACTTCATTTATACCAGGTAAAGTTTAAAGAATTTTTAAAATTTATGATTCTACTGACTGATTTTGACCCAAGTTAAAAATTTCAATTATAAATATTTGGAATTGTCAACCAATCAAATATAGAGTCATGTCCAGTGTAATTGTCACACATAAAAAAGATACTGTTGGTAGTTTGAGGGTAAAATGTAAGTGTAAGTAGATGTAAAGATACAAAATAGACAAAGTTTAACCCCTTTTCATAATCTTCTGTATAATTTGCCAAAGGGTATGTAATATAATACAGGATACATAAAAATATAACAGATATTTCTGAACAACAACATAGTTCATCCTAATTTCTTTAAAGATTATTAAATATCAAATAGTTATATCATTTTCAAAAGATACCTCATCTGATGAAATAATGAAGACAATAAAATATAAAATTTATACAATCAGAATCTTTGTCAATCTAAATCATACACTGTTTAGTTCAATTTACTATGTTACTGTTTGAAAGTAACTGACTCTGTTGGTAGTGTTTAATATTTTATTTTCTCCTTTTAATTGCATAACTTACTTTTCTCTCTGCACATATAAACATTCAGTATAAATGTTACTATTGAATTTGAACTTTTTAATGGTACTGGTAAAAAATTGAAACTTTTAACGTAGTTCAGAACTTTAAAAAGTAAAATTGGTAGAAATTTTGAATTATAATTATTTTGTCAATTAATAAACTATTCCCGCTGGGAAAATAGTCAAGCTACATATTATTATGATTATCTTTGTAACAAAGCCCATTCCTCTCAGAATAAACTCAAATTACCAAAAAGAATGTTTTTTGTACCTACCTTTCAATTAATTCCCACTTGAAAAGAGCTCAGAATTTTATATAAATAAAGTATGCGATACAATAGCTTAGTTCTACTACTTTTGGAGGCCGTTTGTGATGAGCGCCAACCTTTACGATATGCGAGAAATTGGGGACATAAAAAAGTCGTAATGAGTTCACCGTTCACTACAACTGGAGCCTCCTCCTGCCATTTACCACACTTATAAGGTCTCATTTTTTTTTATTTGCATTTGCCACGCTAATGAAAGCAACGGCATTATAGACACAAATGTGTATATATTTTTTATTTGGGAATTACAAACAATGGTACATTATAATCCTGTCATTAAACTCAATAATATATTTAAGTTTAATAATCACACAATCAACACCGTTATCCATATATTATTATGGGGTCAGTGTGTACTTGACAGTGAAAATTGAAATGTTAATGTTCTATTAAAACAACCCATTCACTACTAAGTACAAAGAAAAACAAACATATATATATATATATATATATATATATATATATATATATACAATTACTTTAAAAAAGGGTACCGACTGTCTGTGTAGTGACGGTGTCAGAATATCCACTACCCTTATTGTCCCAAGGGTGTCTTTTCGCAATCGTAATAATCGTATTTCATAACTACTTGAAATAATAAACTGCGGCTGTCAACCCCCCTGCCAAGTATGGCAGATGGCAACTATGGGGGATACTATGAGGCAATGTACAGGGAGGCATATGTACAGCAGTGAACTTCGATAGGCTGATGATGTAATGATGGTGATGATGATTATTAAGAAAGGGTGAGTGTAAGTGATGTTAAGTATATGTTTTTATATATACGAGTTCAATTGAGTTTGTCTTACCGATTTATTTGTTGTATTTATTCATGTAAAAGATTTGCAAAAACATTCATTTTAATTTTATTTATAATAGCATGTAGGCCAGACAGTCTATTTAGTTTTACCTTTTTCATTTTCAGGTGGCGGGGGTATATATGAGCACTAGAATTGTTGTCAACATTGCTCAAGTGTTAATTCCTCTGTACCTACATAAAACGTTAGGCTTAGCAGCTCGTTCGCTTGCCGTGATCCCTTTAGCGATGTATCTGGGGAGCTTATTATCTGCTGGAGCACAGAGGTTAGCTCCAAGATCTTTCACCCGAAAACTAAACTATTTTGTTGGGTCCATTTGCTCACTTATTGGTTTCATTTGGATTTACCTCGAATCCGATTATAACTACAAAGTATATTATATTTATGTTGTTGCAGTGTTAATAGGTTAGTATTCATTACAGTTAATATTATAGATAGGTACTTATTTGCATACAATTTACTGGTATATTCAAACATTTATTATGATAACATTTTTATCTACACATAATTTGAAGTGTCTGTTATATTAAGCTCACCACTTTTAAAATGTTTGTCTGTTCGGCATAATCTTTGGAATGGCTTAACAAATTGTGATGAAACTTCACGAACAGAAAGGGAGCAATGCTTTACAGTCCGCGGGCTCTGAGTCCAATGAAGCTGTGAGAACCGCATAGGCTAGCAGCGTTAACATTATCGAAACCAGACACGCTGTAGTAGCTTCTATAATAATTAAGTCGGGAATGCACACAAAAGGGGCAAATGTTGGCAAAAATTTTCACACTATGAAAGAATGTAATATAACGCATAAAACAAATGAAATTAAAAAAAAACATTGCAAAGCTTTCTTTTTTTAATAAATAGCCTTTACTAATGTTTGTGGCCAGTAATGTGTATCATAATTACAGCAGGAGAAATCAAACATTTTTTTGCCTACCTCTAAATATTCCCATGAGTGTATATAGATAAAATGTACCTGAACTTACTTGTAGTTCATCTGAACTTACTTATGTAAATAAAAAAACATTTAAGTTTATAAATCTACCTTAAGTACTTAAGTCACCTAGTTTAACTCTAGTTATTTTTTTAAAATTTCTGTACTCTTGTTTTTATCATTTATCACAGCCATTCACGAGGCCACTGCTGAACATAGACCTCCCTCAAGGAATGCCCCAAAGCATGGTTCTGAGCCATTTGCAACTATCACCTTCCTGCGTCTCTTACCAGGTCATCACTCCATCTAGTGGAGGGCCGCCCTACCCTTCACTTACCGGTACGAGGTTGCCACTTGAACATTTTCCTTTTTGTTCTTTGAGCTATATGGCCTGCTCAATGCCATTTCAACTTATGATTAGTGCGCTATGTCTACTCTTGTTTACTGCGTATGTCGTAATCTTCCAACCTGCTTTTCGAATTGAAAGATATTGGAGTCTGTAATAAATTACAGACTCAAATATCTTTCCCGTAATCAATAAATGAAAAAAATGATAATTATGAATATATTTAAGCATAAATGATATACTAAAATAATTATGATTTTTTTCGACTTCTATGCTATGTGCTACAAAATAAACATTGCTTGTATTTCTGATGCAGTTAAAACTTGTTTCTAACTTTAACTTTACTTTTTTTATTAAAGGACTTGTTTTTATACTATATCGTGTTAATTTTAAGGTTTTGGTGGATCTCAAATGCTTGTGACAAGCCTTGCCCTAACAGCGGACCTGGTCGGTGACAAAACTGAGGCTTCAGCATTTGTCTACGGTCTTATGAGCTTTACTGACAAACTTTCATGTGGAGCAGCTATCGCTATAATACAGATGTAGTAAGTAAACTGAAAATGTATTCATCATAGATATCAGTGTGCTTTGAATTAGATATCGCTACTACCAACAACAAAATTTTCACAACACACGCGCACATAAAAGACGACACGTGACAAACACAAAAAATATTAACGCCGTATTCCTTACGCGCACACGTCACTCGCTTCGTCGTCGTCGCTTGCTTCGTCGCTGAAATAATAACTTATTTTTTTATTAATATAAGCATGATCGAAATTATCATTTAAGCTTTCCGAGTATAGACCTTCCAATCCGTAGACAGAGAAACCTATAGACTAATGATTAGCGTGGCCTCGAGTGAGAAAGGACGATAACGTGGTTTTAGGTTATACAATAATCTTTATGACTTTTAAACATATTTAGATAAAATTTTTAATTGTTCTAAGAACTGAACTGAACAAGATTCACCAATCTTAAGCTCACAAAACACTTTTCTCGCTTAAACCAACTTAACTCCTTAGATCGCTACGAACTGTCAAAGTTGTTTAGCAAAGTGTAGTTTGCTAAATAAAAAAAAACGGCACGGAGAAAGGGACAAACAATCACACCGCTCTGTCTCATTTCTATGCAAGACGTATGCATAAATCTATCTTTTTCGTGTGCGAATGCGAAAGAAGGCGTCAATTTGTCTATAGGTTTCTCTGTCTACGTTCCAATCACATAAATGTGTTCTAGAGACCCGCTCCGGTTCGCGCGGGTGTTTTTAGAATTATGTAACAGAGTACAAATTTTGTCTTTTACGATTTCTACTTCGTAAATTTATTCAACATACACATCCAACACAGTTACGAGGGCGGCACTGAAAATTTCGGGAATTTAGGAAGTGACACAACATTACTATTTAAAAATGTATTTATTGCTTTTCGAAGTATTCTCCGCGAAATTTGACACATTTTTCCATACGATGGAACCAATCATTGAAGCAACTATTCCATTCGAAGTTGGGGTCTCCAAAATGGCCGTTTTGTAGGCGTCCACAGCTTCTTCAGGTGATGAAAATCTCTGTCCACGCAATTTATTCTTTATTTTAGGGAAAGTATAGAAATCATTAGGGCTTAGGTCGGGCTGTACGGCGGATGGTCTAATAATTCTATGTTTTCTTGCTCTAAAAACTCTTTTGTTCTGTGTGTGGTGTGAGAACTCGCATTGTCGTGATGGAGGATGATGCGGCGGTTGCAGTTCTCTTTACGGAGTTCAGAAATGACCTGTGGCAAACAAATGCTAGCATACCATTCTGCATAAACCGTTCTTTGTCCTTCAAGAGGAATAGTCGTAACATGGCCGGTTTTGGAGACAAACGTGGCCACCATTTTTTTTGCAACACTCGTGAACGAACAATTTTTGTTGGCTTTAACTCATTTTCGAACACCCAAACTCGTGACTGGTTTTTTGTTTCGGGTTCGTACGCGTATATCCAGGATTAATCACCTAATACGATGTTGTATACACCATTTGAGGATCCTGCGTGGAATATTTCGAGAGTTCTGATGCACCAAGTAACGCGAGCCGCTTTTTGCTCTTCACAGAGCGAATGCGGTATCCATCGGGAAAACAACTTTTTTACACCTAATTGTTCATGCAAGATTATTTGTATTTGACTCATGCCAATGTCTAAAGTTGCCTGAATTTCGCGGTATGTCACATGTCGATCTTCCTCAATCAGCTTACGCACAGCATCAACGTTTTCTTGGGTGACTGCAGTTTTTGGACGATTTTGATGGGGATCATTACTGAGATTGACACGTCCACGTTGAAATTCAGCAAACCAGCGATAAATTGTGGTTTTGGATGGGGCTTCATCTCCAAATGCAGAAATCATCCGGTCAACACACAGTTTTTGTGTTAAACCACTTCGAAAGTCATAATAAATCATCGCTCTTGAATTTTCTCGAGTCAATTCCATTTTCTCAACAACTAAACAAGTTTGACAAAACCTTGTGACAAGACCGAGAATCTTTTTTTAAATAAATAAATGGTATTCGATTTTAAAAACCAGGGAGTTTTCAATTAAAAAGATTTTAATATGACAGGAACAGTGGAAATATTCCATTCTCGATATGTTTAGTGCAGCCTAGGTATACGTCTAAGACATAATGACGGAATTTCCATTGACAGAGTATGTATAAACACGATCAGTTCCACGCTAATATACACTACACACAAAAAGTTTTATTAATAATTTAATGATGTATACAACTCGCGGTACGAAAGTCTAGCGGTGACCATTATTGCGCATAATTGGCCGTATTGCGAATTATTGCGTAAAATTGGCTGTGCATATCGTTCGTACCCGCTGATTGGCTCTCCACGTTTCTTTAAGCGGTAGAGTTACATGCCGCGAGTTGTACAAAATAAGAAAAGTATTCAGAGTCAAAAATGTGTTTTTTTTAGAAAAAAAAAAAATTAGTGTAAGTAATAAATAATTGGTGTTTGATAATTATTAATCATACAGATCCTACCCGGACGAAACCGATGCGAGTCGCTAGTTGTTAATATGAATCTTCCATAAATATAGCATATGTTAATAATTTAGTACAACACCACCTATCTGATTTTAATAATGTCCTACAGACCGAATTACAATCACGGCGGCCGCTCTCAACAGGTACTAGCCATCCGTGCAGGATAGGATTATAGTCTTAAAGTGTATGCGCAAGTACAGGTGCACTATCTATTCAAACACTCTCTTAGTCCTATGGGACGGTAATCCAACACGACCGCGGAGAGATCAGTTGTAGGACCAACGGCTTTACATTTTTTTTCAAGGCACAGGGGTGAAACTCTGTCAATTTGGACTACTACTACGACTGTTACTGATTTTCTTGATTCAGCAGTCGCATTTATGACTACTGGACAAACAATGCAATATTGGATACAAGCATAACTATGAACCATTGTTTCGACAGATCTAATATATTGTGTGAATATAACCTCAATTGATGAAGTTGTTCAGAAGTTATATGGTAACAGAATCAACAATTTTATATTTCTAATTATTTTATATAAGAATTAAATGTTTCCAGTGCTGACGGTGCAAGTGCAAGTTACTACCGAGATGTGTTGTCATGGGTGTGCGGTGGTGCGTGTGTCCTGGGACTCATTTTAACATTATTGATGCCCAAGTTAACATCTGATGCTCAACTTACTAATAGTAAGTTTCGTTAAAATGAATACTTTATTTTTATATATATATATATATATATATATATATATATATATATATATATATATGAAACGTAAATCTTACCATTATTATAATTGTGAAAGTTTGTCTGTTTTTTTTTTTAATAGAATAAGGGTGACATACGAGCACATAGTCCACCTGATGGTAAGTGGATGCTGTGGCCCATAGACATCTAAATTTATCCTCGATTAAGAATCAAAACGCAGATGCGTTGTCACCCCTGAGGACTAAGATGGAATGTCTCGTTTCCAGTAAAAAAGGATCTCCGGATCTCTACACTCACCATACAAAACACAGCAGTATTATGCTGCTATATTACGCTAGTATTCTGTGAGAGTGTGGTCCTCCCCGGTCAAGCCGACCCATTCGTGCTACAACCATAATAAAGCTGCATCGTGGCTCTACCATTTTTGTTTGGATGTTTGTCTTTCAGTCATGGTTAACCCTTTTTAAGGCAGCGGGAATATATTTCCCACCACTAATTTTCACATTATTAGTTAAGCAAATTTTAGGGAAAGATTTTTTCCTATTGGCAACATTTTTATGGATATCCGGTCAACATTTTTCATCTATGGTAATGACACGTCGCCATTTTAGATTTTACACTGTGACGTTTGGAAGACTGAAATCGGGTGTGTTTCGGTACGACTTCTAAAATCTTTATAAATCTTTTATATCTGCGACTCATGAACGGTAAGTTGTTATTATTTCTAAAGCTTATTGTATATTTCATTGATATTCAAGCATATTTTCAATTCTACATTTTGCAGATTTTGTTAGTAGGGGCTTTTTGTGGTGGTAAAAATGTTCCCTTTGCCCGTGGAGCTGACAGTATGTATTGGTTGTTACAGATTTATATTTTGAAAATGAATGAAAAGGCACTGAATGACTTGGAAATAGCTTGTGCATTAGAAGAGATTTTTGGTTTACCTGATGATCCCGATGTGTCAGATGATAATTTGGAATCCGATGAAGAAGATGTGCAGTACAGTACAGTGAAACTTCAAAGAATTTTAGAGAGCCTTGATGAGCCTCATGATGGAATTCTAGCACCCACACCTGATCCACCTGATAGTCTTATTAGTAATATAAGTAATGCGTCTGTTGAAAACCAACCTAGTCCATCACCTCAACCAACCAACAGTGACCGGCTTAGGTGGGCAAGAATAATCCAAAATGCACCCAGTACTTCTGGCACTCAACAGACCTTACGGCGACAACCACAATCACCAGTAGCAAATACTAACTCAGATTCGGAAACAGATGATTCAGACGGCGAAGAGGAAACATGGAAAAAAACTATGTGGACAACTGATCGGCCAAGTCCTAGCGTTTACGATGAAATTCCGATGGAACCGGCAATTATGTTTAGCAGCCGTACTAGACCTGTAACTGTATTTGAAAAATTCTTCACTGATGAAGTCTACGATTTGATAATATATCAAACAAACTTATATGCAGAGCAAAGGAAAGATGAAGGATGGACACAATTAGATAAAAAAGAACTGAAGGCCTTTGTAGGGATTTTTATAATAATGGGATACAATATTCTGCCTTCTATTGACCTTTATTGGTCTTCCGACCCTGGTTTCAGGGTAGATGAAATAGCAGAGACTATGACCGTAAAGCGATTCAAGAAGATATTGCGAAATCTGCACGTGAATGATAATACACAGATACCAGATAAGACAAGCGAGAACTATGACAAACTTTACAAAATACGCCCATTATTGGATCTTATCACTCAGGCATGTCAGAAAAATGCCAAAGACTCCTCATCCCAAAGTATTGATGAATCGATGATTCTCTTCAAAGGCCGGTCTTCCATGAAACAGTATATGCCTCTAAAGCCCATAAAAAGAGGTTACAAGGTATGGTGTCGCTGTGACAGTAAAACTGGGTATCTCTATGAATTCTACATATACACTGGAAAATCAAAAACCGGAACAGAGGAAGGACTAGGATCCAAAGTTGTGAAGATGTTGACTGAAAAGCTGATAAATAAAGCACTGGAGGAATATCATATTATTATTACATTTGACAATTTCTTCTGTGACTGCACTCTAATGCAATATCTATATGAAAATGGCATTTATGCTACAGGAACTGTACGAAGACACAGAAAACATCTGCCTGTACTTGTAAAAACGAATCAGAAGCTTGCAAAAGGACAATATAAATGGAGAGTCAAGGGAAATGTATCTTTCTTAGTTTGGCAAGATACCAAAGAGGTTCTCCTATTGAGTAATGCATTCCATCCAAAAGTTGGCAAAACCACTGTCTTACAGACTCAGAAAGACGGCACAAAACAAGAAATCAACTGCCCGTTAGCAATAAAGGAGTATACTAAAAGGATGGGAGGCGTTCATCACTTTGATCAGATAAAAAGTACCTATTCAGTAGGGAGAAGAAGTAGGAGATGGTGGGTCCGAATATTCTTTTTCCTTTTAGATACAAGTATAACAAATGCATACTTGTTATATTGCCAAAATAAGAATGCGACAAAACTAAGCAATCTTGAATTTCGAGTCTCTGTCGCTAGAGGACTGATCAGTGGGTTTTCCAGTAGAAAACGACGATCTGGTAGTTTAGTCAACTATATCTGCAGAAAAAAAATTGCTTCTGAGAATCGCCAAAAGGCAGTGCATGTTGTCGCAGAGGAAGTTCGTTTCACCAACGTTGGAGACCATATGCCCGTTGAATCGCCTTCATATAAACGTTGCAGAATGTGTAGCACAAAAGAAAAAGACAAAAGATCGAAAGTTATATGTGAAAAATGCAAAGTTCCGCTCTGCATAACACCATGTTTTACTGCATTTCATAGGAAAGGCTAGTTAAGGCGTCACGGGCAGCGGGAAAATATTTACCACCGTGTTTTTTTAAATTTTTGAATTTCTTATTTGCATTTTGTGAAAAACCATAATAAAAATAGTCTAAAACCATCAACAGTTTTACTTATCCACCCCTAGATGCTTATGCCTTATAAAGGGTTAAACAGCTGGATGGATTTTAATGATATTGTCATAGAAGTCAATTACGTTGTAGAATTGCTTATAGAATACTTTTTATAACAATTATTTTTAAAGTTTTATTCACGCCAGCAAAGTGAGCGGCTAATAGGTTTTAAATTGTAATGACACCAGGAAAAAGTAAAAATGTAATTGTGTGTTTGCAATTTGACATATGAAAGTCACGGTGTGGTACGGTATATAAATTATATTTCTGTGTATTATGTGTAACTCGAAAAATTTCGAAATAACAGCACATTAGCTAGTTCTCCACAGAACACCAATACCCTTATGCTGGATCAGTGACGTCACGACAGTTCTATTATAGCGGACAGCGTTTTGCAGATTTGTGGCACACCTAAAAAAATTCTTAAAATTGAAATATAAAATTTATAATGCAATTTTGTAAATAGAAATCAATATTTCTCGTTTACTTTTTACAAAATCTATCATAAATATATATTTTTACATGGTGTAAAATACCCTATTATCTTTCGTTTTTATATTTAGTACTGTCACAATCACTTTAATATTAAGTTCTCTTTTACAATAACCACTCGTTACAGTAATAAATTTATACAATACTGTATTATATTTTATTGTTACAGGCAGCCCTTCGATCAATGTAATCGAAGAAGAAACAAGTTCACCGCCAAATTTATTATGAAAACAAAAAAAAATTGTAGTCAATTGATAACTATGAACATTGTGCTATTTGTTGCAGTATTGAAACACATTCCTGTAAATAACTTGTTTATTTACTGTTCCTTTTATTATATAGTAGTAGTATATAATTTATGGAATATAGAAATAAGTCTTATAAAGTAACAAAATTCGATAATGCTTTACACTTTCACTGTCCGATTTTCGGACACTAAGATTGACTAAGAAGATTGTAAGACAATATCAATAATCTATATGTAGTACCCGAGACAGCGATTGAGCCATTATTAAAATATAACATTTCTTACAATTAAATAAAACCTAAATACTAAAACTATTGCGGTATCGTGCCAAGAATCTGTGTTTCTGATTGGTTATACTTAGAGTACTTAGTACTTGAGTAGAAGACCAGTGTAATGCTTCCTCCTCACTACTCGCGAAGTAACTTCGACGAAGTGCTCGTCGAAGTCGATCGAAGCCGAAGTACGTGACCACACACTCGTGCTACTTCGCGAAGAGCTCAGTCGTCTTGAGTCTCCCGTACCCTTAACATGAATAACGTTCAAGAGGCAGCTGCTGTTGGAATGTGTTCGCTAGCGTATTATAATTACGTGCGTGTAATAATATACAACAAAAATTAAAAAAGAAATGGAGAAAAAGGAGATGGTGGATGATTGCAATGCACCGGAACAGAACTAGGTTAGTAAACAAGGCACAATTAAGAACTTTCACCATAGGTAGAAAAGTCTAAACATAGGCACATATTATTATTACTATTATGATTATTTTTAATTTATATTTCATATTTTTGCAGACATAGTATGGAGCAACAATTTGTTGAACTCATACAAGAACCATCTGGAGAATTCGAAAATTTCCATCGAATGTCATTGACGGATTTTAATTTCTTGCTTTCCAAAGTTCTGCCACTTATCTCTAAGCAAGATACTCATTTAAGGGAAGTCACTTTGAGGTTTTTAGCAACTGGCGACAGTTTTAAAAGCCTGCATTATTTATTTAAAATTTCAAGGCAGTTAATTTCAAAAATAGTAGTTGATGTTTGCAAAGCTCTTAACGACCTTCTCAAGGATGAAATAAAGGTAGATGTTTAAGATTTTTGAACATAATTTAATTTAAACTTATTACTAATTAAAATTACAATTAAAATGATGAGTAGGTATTATTCAGACGTATAGTATGCTTGATTTATTATATTATTCATAGGAGACGTTCGGTAGGGGACGAATCGAGTTTGGATTGTAGTTGGGCTGGTTACTATGGATTAGTTTGGTTAGTATGGATTTTTCATTAAGGAAAGTATTTTCATTTGTTTTCGGGATATGTAACATGTATTGTCTTCCATCAGTTCCATCGGAAAATGCTACAAATGAGTTGTGAGGCTCTGAAAATGATGAGTTTGGCCTGGGAGAAGTCATTGTGACATTAGGATAATTTCTACAAGTTGGTGTAGGGGAACGTAATGAATCAGATGATCTTTCAACACTACGTGGTCTTCGAAATAAAGCATGAATGTCAAACATTATTTCTTCCCTTTCATGTTCAGGCATCTTCTTTAATTTTTTGGCAATCAGTTTGCCAAATATGTCATACTCATCTTCAACAACATCTTGCCTGTTAATCATTTTATTTAAATTGTTAAATGCCTCAAACATTTGTTTGCTGCAATTTGTAATTCTGGTGGGTTGAGACGACGCCGGATAGTCCTATTTTGCGTTGGTGTTGGATCGAGTGCCTCACATGAATTAAACGTATCTGGTGGAATCGAAGAATCTGTTGATTCGGCGGCCTCATTTTCCTCTTCAAGTTCATTAGGAACAGTTGCAGTGTCCTGAAATCAAAAACGCAATCTAGTTATAAATAATTTTTTTTAGTTTTTCAGATGCCAGTCAATGAGCAGCAGTGGTTAGAAGTTGAAAACGGATTTAAAAATAATTGGTGTAATTGATGGAAAGCATATTATTATACAATGTCCAGACAATTCGGGTTCTGAGTACTTCAATTATAAGAAGACATTTAGTATAGTAGATGTATGCCAACATTGGTAGTCAAGGAAGGATCAGTGACGGAGGTGTATTTAAAAATTCTTCGTTGTGGCAAAAAAATTTCATCCGAAACTCTTAATTTGCCTAAGCCATGTTCATTGTCTAGCGCTGATAAAGCTAATATTCCTTACGTGTTTTTTGGCTGACGGAGCATTTGCTTTGCATAATAATATAATGAAACTTTATCTGGTACTCATAATATTGGTTCACCTAAACGAATTTTTAATACACGCTTGTCAAGGTCTCGGGTTGTAGTTGAGAATGTTTTTGGTATTTTAGCAAACAGGTTTAGAATATTCAAAAAGCTAATTGATATAAATATCGACACCGTTCCTATTATTATAATGACTTGTCTCTTATTGCACAACTTTCTCAGAAAAAGTAATAATTCATCTCATATTTATATGCCACCCGGTATTGTGGACACATATGATGAAAACAGAGTATTAATTCAACCTGGAATTTGGCGGCAGAACGTTGATAAAAACCGTGCTTTGAGAAATATTGCACGAATACCACGCAGATCAACATTATCTGCAACTCAGATAAGAGATCATTTTGCGGAGTATCTTTTTAGAAAAAATTGGTTATTTTATGCTTATTAAATCCTTGGATATGGAAATCCGGCATATAAATACTATTAATTATGTAAAAAACCTAGTAAAGATTATTTGATCAATAAAAAGACTTTTTTGTCCCGTTTTTGTTTGTTAATAAAAGTTATAAACTTTTTGACAAAAAGTAAAAACCGAATTCAAATCGCTAAAAACAAAGTTATTTATTTTCTACCCTTTGAGATGATTTTTTTCTCCAAATTATAATGAGACCACTCTTATATGGGATCACCTATTTAATAAAAAAAGAATCATCGAAATTGTGTAACAATCTGCGAAGATATCGCGTAACATACATACAAAACAAACACACTCGCGTTGCAAACCTCCTCCGTTTTGAAGTCGGTTAAAATTTATTACTAAATGTAATGAAAATCATACAATGCATACAAATGTAAAAAAGAAACAGTAACAACACCATTCATATACTTTTGTGAAATCTTGCCTATCTGTTGGAATTCATGAAATATGGAAATAAAATACATTTTCATAATATACTCGTATTTGAATAAAGCAGTGAAACAGGTGTGCATTTACTTTAGCATTAGCATTATTGCATTTAGCATATTTGCGTATTAACATTAGCATGCATTGAAATGAATTAATTTTTAACCTATTCATTAATTAAATAATAAAAACTCACCGTTGTCATTGTTTGTTTACATTTAAATACTGGTCCCAAAAAATTATCCATATGTTCAAATGCAAACCATACTGGAAGATAAATATCATCCACGCCGGCACCGGATTTAAGTGACTTGTTTTTTTCTGCAGTAGCCCCTGTAGGTGGCAAAAAGAGATTCTTTCTTTTTTTTCAGTTCTAGGATAGGCATATTGAAAATTCCTTTAATGCGCACCCAAGCATCGTTGATTTTTTTTCTATCTTTATGTCCTCTGTCAGTTGGGTCCCTAATAACTCGCTCTGATTGTAGTATTTCTAAGAAGAAAAGGACTATTCCTGTGACCAAGTCGCATTCATTATATGTACCCAATTTTATGCACGCGCACCCACGTGTGAACAGTACGGCGTCAAAGCGCTAATGGACGTACGCCGAGTAGTGTAGTGAGATGCTTCGTGTCACTTCGGGGTACTTCGCGAAGTCCTTTGACTCTGGCGCAAAAAAACCGACAGCGATCGGAAGTCGCCCGAGGCGAAGCGAGGTTGGACGAAGTGAATCGAAGTACCTCTCTACACTATTCGCCTCGTCCAACTTCGATCTACTTCGCGAGTAGTGTAGAGGAAGCATTATACTTTAATATTTTTAAAATTATAAATATAATATATAATTATAAAATAAAATTAATTTTTTTAATTTTTTAAATAATATTAGAGAATATAATTGTACGCTAATATAGAATGTCGATATTTTGTTACAAAAAAATATGGTTGACCCTGTAGGCCATCCCTGGACCTTCCCACTTATTTTCTAGCGCAACGCTCGAAAATCTGTTTAATTTTTGTTTTTTGGTTTTATTTTTTGAAAACCTTTGAAACGGTTCGTCTTGAGAACGTAATCGGCTCGATGTCTCAATGAACACTTTCGAAAGCCCTGACGTCCATCTCGATCGGTTGATTCGTTCTAAAGATATCGTACGACAAATCACACACATACACACACGGCCGGTCTTTCAACTGGGGATAGGGCCTCGAAACGTGGAGATCTGATGAAAACTCGCATTCTCAAAATCAGACCGAAATTTAAATATAAACTCCTACTTTTTAAAATTATTATTTTTAAAAGTAGGAACTTTAAAAAATTGAACCTTATGTAAGTTTATTACTCGATTCTTAATTTTTAAAAAAGTCATAAAATAATATTAGAATAAAATCGTTTGTTATATTTGAGAAAGTTTTACTTAATGTACTTATTGTTAAAAATGTCAAGGTAGGTAAATATTAAAATGTGAAAAATACGCACACGTAAATTGCATCAATTATTTAGCAATTTAATCTTTGACATTATCATTAAATGTGGATTTAAATATTTAATTTTATTTTAATCCAGTATAATCTTTTGTATACCCAATGATTTCAACATGTCTCTAAGCTTAAGTAATTTAATTCCTGTATTTAATATCGATTGAGTTATCTCGAATATTAAAAAATTAATAAACTTTTATTAAGGCGCATATCAAATATTTATTATTTTAAATATTCTATAATTTTTGTTTCAGTTATGTTGTTTTAAGAAATTAAGCATTATGTACTAAAAGTATTCCAAATTGAATAATATAGCGAACGGACTCACGAAAACATGCCATGCAGCACGCGCGCTAATTCTAAATACGCCGACGGTCGATGTATGGTCTCGTTCATGGAAAGCTCATCCATACAGCTTACCCGCAGCGCGTGAAGTAGTGCGTAGTGAACGCGAAGTGCGCGAACTGGCACGTCACATTTAAAAACGAAACGCGGCTGCCATAGTTGCGGTTGCACGGTGTATTTATTGCCCGCCCCTATGTCACTCTGCGATCTACACCATACTTATATAAAACAAAACGAACTCAACCCGAGTCTATAGCTGAATTTAAGTTTTTTTTTACCAAATGCTTGACTACTATCCTACCTGGTGGTAAGTGGTGATGCAGCCAAACATGGCAAAATGTGCTGGCTTACCTTAACAAAAGCCTATTCAATCTTATCTTAAAGACACCCATATTATTGTAATAGGATGGAAGTAAGTAGCCATTGTTTTGGTTCAGTGACCAATGAATATTTCTTTACGACGATTTTAGTGCAATAAAGTATTATAAAGAAATGAATGTTCTATGTATAGTCGTGGATAATAACTATATTACATACATATATACTTTGTCGATATTATCAATAAAGGAGTTTGGAATATATCGATAATAAATAGCAATATCATGGGATCGGTGTTTCTGGTTTGTCGATATATCGTTGCAATCATAATATAACCTTATATCTCGGGTTTAAATTAGTCAGTTTCCGCGACAGAAGGTGCTGGGTGATGGGTCTCCCTGTGCGAGACCTTAATTCGTTTTAGATACTCGTAAAATCATTTCCTCTCAATTATTAAAAAAATAATAGCTAATTTTCCACCATTTATTATTGTGATTTATACATTTGTATAAAATATCAAAGATTAATGATTAAGTTATTTTCAAACTGTGATCAACTAAATGATATTATTTAATTAAATGTTTAAGGAAATTATTATGTACTTATGAGTTTGTTAAATACAGTGGATTTCATTTATTATGACCTTGGTTGTAGCGACCATTTACCTATAGCGACGTTAAATCTAATTCCATTGAATTTAAAGCGTACAAAATTCATGTGGCTATAGCGAATTTGGATGTAACGCCGAGTTTGGGTGTAGCGACTGTTTTTAATGAATCATTTGTAACAAATTCCTAGAAATCCTATGCAAATATTGCGACCGGAGCCGGCCGCCAAAGACACAAAGATTTATTTCTTTCACAAACATTTCTTATCTTATGTTTACATACACACAGATGGTCAGCAAGTGGAGACCTAAGCTAAGTTGGTAGGGAAACTTGTACGTTTCGGAGTTTTATGGTTCAGTTACAAAGTGATATTCTGAGTAGCATTTTGAAATGTACCAGTAAATCTAACTATGTGTGCAAATATTTTCAATAATAAATGAATATAAACTATACATGTGTATGTGTCTGTATCTCTTTACATTTGCCTGTAACGACTTCTGGATATAGCGACGAAAATAGTGTGGTCCCTTCATCGTCGTTATACCCGAAATCCACTGTACAATAAAAAATAATTGTAATTTTTTATTATTTATGTATAAGTTAACTACACGGAAGGTGTCCAGGCTTCCCAGGGGTTATTATCATCCATAAATTCCTTAATATTATAATAACCCTTTTTATACAAACTTAGTTTAATAACATTTTTGAACTTTGTGTATGACAAATTTTGTATATTTTCTGGGATTTTGTTGTAAAAGCGTATACATCGCCCCAAGAATGAATTACTGACTCGGTGGAGTCGAGTAACTGGTACTACTAGCTTGTGTCTGCTCCTAGTATTTACAGAATCAATATCACTTATTTTCGCGAAACTACTTTTATTTTTGTGTACGTACATTACATTTTCATAAATGTATTGAGAGGCCAGAGTTAATATATTGATTTCCTTAAATTTTTGTCTCAGTGACTCTTTTGGTTTTAAATTATATATTGCTCTAATGGCCCTCTTCTGCAAAATAAATATAATTTCAGTGTCAGTCGCGTGTCCCCATTGCAAAACACCATACGACATAATGCTATGGAAATAACTAAAGTAAACTATTCTAGCTGTTTCAACACTGGTAAGAGTTCTAATCTTTTTTTACAGCATATGCTGCAGAACTAAGTCTGCTAGCTAGTTTTGATATATGGGGGAGCCATTGAAGCTTTGCGTCCAGTGTGATTCCAAGAAAAATGGTATCAACAAGAGTCAGTTCTTCCCCATTTAATAGTATTGACATGTTTAACATTAGGAGTGACGAATTTCATACTTTTAGTTTTAGTACCATTTAAATGCAAATTATTAACATTAAACCAATTGATTAACTTAGCTATAGCATTATTTACTTCGTCGTAATTTAATAACTGTCGTTTTAATTTAAAAATTAATGTATCATCAGCAAATAATACTATATCATGGTTATCCTCTACTATGTAAGGTAAGTCATTAATATATACAAGAAACAGAAAGGGGCCGAGGATTGAGCCCTGAGGCACGCCCATTTGTACAATCGACCCGGAAGATCTCATACTATTGATGACAACTTTTTGCGTTCTGTCACTTAAATATGAAATAATTAATTTAAGAGCATCGCTTCTTACACCGTAGTGTTGAAGTTTCCTGATTAATGTTTCATGGTGAACACAATCGAAGGTTTTGGATAGGTCACAGAACACACCCAAAGCATCCTGTGAATTCTCCCATGCATTAAATATATATTTAATCAGCTCAACACCAGCATCAGTTGTCGAGCGACCCCTTGTGAAACTAAATTGATTTTTATGAAGTAAATTATTTACATTAAAAAAATTTAACATTTGATCAAGAATAATATTTTCAAAAATTTTACTAAGTGTTGGCAGTACAAAAATGGTCTAAAATTAGCGGGGTCCAATGTACTGCCAGATTTAAATAAAGGTATTACTTTACTATCCTTCATTAAATCAGGAAACACACCAGATTCGATACTAGTATTAAAAATAATAAATAGTTGAGGTGCGGTTGTATCTATTATAGATGCAATAACTTTAACGGAAATCGCCCACAGATCGGCGGTTCTGTTAATATCAATAGTCTTAAATTATTTTACAATATCTTTTGATGACACTTTATGAAATGTAAAATTCTTAGTACACACATTTACATTTTGTTTAAGTAATGATTCGGCGACGGCAGGAGAAGAATTCAGTGACTTAGTGGTTAAGATCGGAATATCAATAAAATATTTCTCAAAAACCATTGCAATATCCTGATCTGATTTAGTTAATGTTAAAACTTAACTGGTAGTTTGAATTACGAGAGTTGACCTTAACAGTTTCACTATTAATTATACTCCATGTCATTTTAATTTTATTAGACGCAGTCTTTATTTTGTTGCTCAAATACAATGACTTGGCTAAGGAGCACACTCTTTTAAATAT